TTCAAAGCGACCTGCTTCTGGACAAGTTACATCGCTACGGGATCAATGACAATGCCTATACGCTACTGCAGTCGTTCTTGAGTGGCCGCAAGCAGCTGGTCGAGGTCACTACAAATGGTCGTAAGTACAGATCAGTGGCGGGTGACGTCACCGTAGGTATTCCGCAGGGATCCTCGCTTGGCAATACGCTGTTTCGGACCTTCATTAACGATCTGTCGCACTTCATCACGGAAGGTCTGGTTGTCCTGTTCGCGGATGATACGACTGTTATACTTTGTGCACGTACTTACGAGGAACTCAACACCAAAATAACATGCACTTATAACAAGCTGCAAGAATGGTTTTCCTCAAATGGACTTACTCTCAATGCCTCCAAGTCCAACTTGATATTGTTCTCAGCCAAATCGATAGAAAAGCCACTCAGTATAAATAGCCCAGTCCCTATATGTCCTTCGTGCAAATTTCTAGGCTTCACGCTTGATCCAAACTTGAATTGGAAAATTCATGTGCAAACACTTTGTGACAGGCTTACTGGTGCTGCTTACGCGTTGAGGAAGTTGCGTCCTGTTGTCTCTAGTTCAGTGCTTAAGCAAACATATTTCGCTCATTTCCAGTCCCTGATGTTGTACGGTATACTTCTGTGGGGAACTTCAGTTGACTCCGAGCGTGTATTTATTCTCCAAAAACGCGCAATACGCATCATGGCCGATATAGGTCCCCGTGAAACTTGCAGAACACGTTTTTCAAAGTTTCGCGTAATGACTATGACTATAACTTGTATCTGTTTGAGTTGCTATCATACGTGCGCGGGAACATCGCAAGTTTTAGTCGCCTTTCAGCTGGAGATCGATTGTTGAGAAACACGGGAAGACTTGCGACTGTTCGCCGACGTACCGAAATGGCAACGAAAAACCCGCGGGTAATAGGACCTACATACTATGAACGATTACCCGCAAACCTAAAAAATGAAATCAGTGACGAAATATTCTACCGCCAATTGAAGAATCTCTTGTTGGAAAATGAATTTTATACAATTAAGGAATTTTTATCTTTTAAATTTTTGTAAATTGTTTACAATATTTTTATTTGTTATTATGACATTATTTTTATTTTTTGTATTTTTTTATTTGATATATTTCTATTGACATTCAAATTGTATTGTTATGACATTATTTTTATTTTTTGTATTTTTTATTAGATATATTTCTATTGACATTCAAATTGTATTGTTACAATTATTTTTTATTATGACATTGTATTATTTGTTATTGTTTTGTTATTATTGTATCCCACCCAAAACATAAATGTGAAAGGCTGCCAAGTTCGACAATATTGGAATGCTTCGCCTATAAAAGAAGTGAGATCTAAATAAGTACCAAGTTCCATACACAGACCTCAGTTAAAATTGAAACCTACTTTTTAATGATATAACTTGGCAAGTTTTCACACACTTTTTTATTTATAAACCTACAAAACGCAATGAGTCAAGTATATAATTTTCTATTAAAACTTGCCAAGTTATATCATTAAAAAGTAGGTTTCAATTTTAACTGAGGTCTGTGTATGGAACTTGGTACTTATTTAGATCTCACTTCTTTTATAGGCGAAGCATTCCAATATTGTCGAACTTGGCAGCCTTTCACATTTATGTTTTGGGTGGGATTTCATTTATTTTGTAAGGTTTTCGGTCGGTTGCAATTTTAGGTTGGTACGACCAATGGAAGATATAGATAATTTTTTTGTATTAGTTCCTTAGGGGTATGAATTTACACCTTCATTATTTTTAAAACCGACTCACACTTGGCCATTTTCAGATTTTTTCCTTTACCTTGACCTAAAGACCTACCTCCATGCCAAATTTCAAGTCAATACAACCACTGGAAGTGGTCTAGGTTTTTGATGAGTGAGTCAGTCAGTGAGTGTATAGTAAAAATAGCGATTTTCTGACGTCAATATCTCAAGACCTACAATAGGTACATTAATGAAATTTTGTATTTTAGATGAGTAAGTAGATCTCAACAGATACTAGAAATTTCATATGCGTAGATAAAATAGATTTTGAGTTATAGGTGGGTCGAACTTGGCCCGAAATGGTTCGTGTAATATAACCCACGGCCGGTGTGTCGCTCGAACTTGTAGATCTTTTTGACATTGCTAGTTTTTTAGTTATTATTTAGTAAGTTTGACATAATTTTTATTTTATTTTATTTGACGATCATATTATCCTTGGACATTTTTATCTAATTTTAAGAAATTGTAATTATGAAATTGATAATATGAAATAAAGAAATCTAATCTAATCTAATCTATAAAACTTAGAACTTTATAAAAAAATATAATATTGATTCAGTGTTTTTGTTTTGATCAGTTGAGATGCAGACTGTAGGTACTTTGAAGATAAAGTTCACGCAATTTTGTCAGTTCTAATAGATTACGTCAAAATATGAGTCAAATTTAGTAGGTAAAATGCTATGTTATAATTTGGACCCTCTAGGTCTACTTGACTATAAGTGAACGACTCAGATTTATCGTTCTCACAAACACATGTTACGAGTAACGTATGTCATTGGCATCGCACTATATTTTACTATTGTTAAGCCAAGTCTGTTGCACATGCCATGCATTGTAGTAGTTGTAGTTCGCGATCAATCTTTTTGCATCCAAAAATACATTTTCACTTGCAACAAGTTGAAGTTCAAAACTATACCTTAGCTTTATAAGGTCGCATTTAATTAAGTACAGACATTTTAAGGTCGTGTTCTACTCACAAAACTGAAAAAAAAACCTTAACCCGAAGAAATTTAAAAAGAAAATGGTTTCTCCCGTACTAAGTGCCACACTTTTTCATAATTTTTCTATCCACCAATTTTTTTCATATTTCAAAGAAAAGTCTCTAATAAAAGTTTTTAGATTTGTGACTAGAACACCCCCTAAAATATTTGTTCTTAATTAAATGTAATTATATAAAAAGCAGACACCAATACGGTTCTTTAAACACATACTTATCTATACTTGATATGAGTGAAAGTCAAAACTCAAGACTCCACTGCACCGTCAACAAATTTGCCTGCTTTATTTTTTATTCATGACTAGCGGCCCGCCCAGCGGTTTCACCCGCTGCTACTTACCTGTTTTCCCGTGGAAATTGGACCTTTGCCCGTAGTAAAAAATCCCTTTCTCCGTTCCAGCAGAGGTGTATTTGCCAGCAGAAGCGGCCCGTCATGCTGAATTTTGAAAACGTCATGAAAACTTTTACTTTGAAGCCATAACCGTAGCTCTTATAGTTTATATGGGATGCTGGTGGTCTACATCAGGTACTCCAGACCCTCGTGACCATGTGCCAGCAGAACCTGCCCGTCACGCTGAATAAATTTTACTTTGAAAGCATTACCGTATCTCTGACAGTTTATTTGGGATGCTGGTGGTCTACATCAGGTATTCCAGATCCTCGATGACCGTGTGCCAGCAGAAGCGGCCCGCCATGCTGAGTAACTTTTACTTTGAAGCCATTACCGCGTCTCATAGTTTAGATGGGACGCTGGTGGTCTTCATCAGGTACTCCAGATCCTCGATGACCATGTGCTAGCAGAAGCGGCCCGTCATGGTGAACAACTTTTTCTATGAAGCATGACCGTATCTCTTATAGTTTAGATGGGATGCTGGTGGTCTCCATCAGGTACTCCAGATCCTCGAGGGCTGATAAAAAGTAGTCCATGTCCGTCTTTAATATGCTAGTAATATCACTGCCAAAATTCGCGAAGATCGGTAATAAAGCGGTTTGGCTAATTTGGGTAATAATCGCTATATTTCCCGCTTTTCCTGCTGCTAACCGTTTTCACGTGGGCATGAGCAATTTTCCCGTGGTAAATAGTACCCTATGTTACTCAGGAATGTTGTAGCTTTCTAATGGTGAAAAAATTTTGAAAATCGGTTCAGTAGTTTCGGAGTTTATCGATTACATACATACAAAAAAACAAACAAACAAAGGTTTCCTCTTTATTATATTAACGTGTAGATAGGTTTAGGCTTGGCTTTATACTGGGCCAAATAAGACAGAGACAGAGTTGGAGATAGAAAGAGAAGAACAAAAGAGCACTATCAATTCCACTCAATGATGAAAGCAAGATTCTTTATCCTACAAAGTAACAGACACCCAATGGAGTTTGTCGCAAATGCGTGCCAATATCTATGCTTTCAAGGGTTAGGTACCTACTTCAATAATACAATGATTATCATCATAACATAACTATGCAGACAATTGGGCAAATACCAAGTTACAAATGATTATAATTATAACGATAATATTAATCTGAGTGATAAAACAAGTCTGGTAATGACGTTTTTTTTATTATCTGAGGTCAATGACCCTTACCTTGAAATAAATACAATTGATTAAACATTGTGTTTTGCTGAAAATGTAACCTTGAAATTAAAACTATTGTTAAATAACACAAGTAAGTAACATTTGAATAGGTATGTGAATATTACAAAAACATGTTTTTAACAAGTCGTTTTTCAGTCAAATCACTTCCACATTGCTTCTTGGCGCTTTGTTGATTCTAGAGTATCCACGTGGGTTCAGGTTCAGTTCGATTATGTCCACGTACGTACCGACATGGGGTAGATGTGGTTTCTTAAGCACGGTTGTCATCATCAACATCATCGTCGATAAAATAAGTCAGTACCTATTTATGACGTTATGTTCTGCCTCTGCCTATCCCATTGCGGAAAAATAATCCAGACCAGTCATACCTGTATGACTAAATAATAATTATTATCGAATGTTGTTTAAATATTGCTTCACATGGCTTAACATTTGCGTCAGGTGTGTACTAATATTTGCCGTAGAGGTAGGTAGTTATTTAAATCATAGTAATGTATATTTCAGACAAAGAAGAGGTATACAGGGGGTTAAAAATACGTACTTCCTACGTTATTTTGCGAAAATAACTTTTTTTGTTTGCAAAGTTAATACGAACGAAGCAAGTGAAATAAATTCACGCCGCTGATGGGATTCGAACCCACGTCTTCTGACGTGCCGGGTCAGACGTGTTACTGTTACACCACGGTGGCTCTAACCCAGGCGGTGAAATTTTAATCTGTGAAAATTAAAGAATGGTGGAATTTAGATGCCGGTTTAGAATAGCATCACCCCAATTTTACCCATGGTTGTTGTAAAAACAGACTAAGCGAAAAGTTTTTTGAGGGGGCGTGGGTAGCAGCGTTCCCTGCATATGCAATCAAGCGTAGTGATTATGGCAATTCCCCCCAAATAGGGGGAGGTCCAAGTTCAGCAGTAGACTGTTGTAGCTGATGAAGTATAAGAATAATCAGCGAGTACCAACCAATTAGCCCATGAAACCAATTCAAAATTGGACCAAAATAGCCACTAAAACCTTACATGACCGTAATATGTATTTAACATGTACTTTTGCCTGATTCAGTCTTTTTCTTTACTTCAGTTAAATTGTTTCAGTTTGACATGCTGAATATTTTTTTAACACCCTGATCCCTACGTTACTTGTATAAGGCACGTAGTAAGTATTTTAATTTTCTATGCGTATTACCTGTTATTGAAAATGATAACAATGGTTCACAAAATGTTTCGTCTCAAGGTTAAGTTGTCGAAAACCTTCCACTGAAACTTTTGTTTATTTTAATTATTTAAAATTGAGATGTATCGGTCTTAGCAGTGTGGAATACCGAAGTAACGCATGATCCGATGAATCGTGTCTGAATTTATTAACTGTCAACTGGAAGATCAGCATCATTTGACAGCTGTCAAACCGACAATAGCAGACATGTCAAAAAAGAAAAAATAACCTCATGTCAGAGCATTAACATGATTTTGCTAGCTGTTAAACATAATCCTCGGCCTTTCTGTAAAATGATACATTAAGTCCTAAGCTTAAAGACTCTGCCAGCATCGCAATCAAGTACAGGGGCAACGCGTAGTGAAAGCATAGCCTGCCATGTGACTTCAGTACCTACTAACACGCGCTCAACATGCGCACAGCACGCGCATACCTATTTATATCTCTATCTTCGCCCTTACTAAAGACAGCAGTGTAGATCCAATGTCGGCAGCATATGGCCATAAGAAAATATGAAAAAACTACAAATTACGAATCTATCTTAGTAAAGAAATAACATAAAATTTATAAATAATACAGCTACCTTATCCTGACTGTAACACGAAACTTCGGTATTTTTAACCTATGCAGGAAAACGGGTAACAGCGGGTAAAAAAAATGAGCGGGTCGCTAGTCTACATGAATAGGAAAATACTTATCAATGTACCTAGGCAGGTTTGACATTGACTTTGTTAGCGTACGTACTTGTAGGCCATTGACCCGCGATAACAGAGCCGATTATATATTATTATTTAGTTTACATACAAACGACCGTGATAATATATTCAAGAACAACTAATAGCCATGTTTTCTTTTTGGTCGTTTTCTTATTAGAGCCACAGAGGTTTAGACCTGGTGGGTGGGTCTAATTTGTGACTTTATATTTTTGACTACCTGAACTTGTGACACTGGCAAATCAGACGTTTTTTTCATAGTTAGTACGTGAAGTCCCAAGTTTAATTAAAACTACATTTATTTTAGTGGGCGATTATAAAATAATTATTTGATTCGTTGACATCGGGATTGTACTTTAGTTCTGATTTTGTCATTATAAAAATAGTTCTTGTGTGCTACTGGCTTAAATCGATCAATTTCTTTCAACTTATTTAAGTCTTATCATCAGTGACAGGTTCAGTAGGAAATTTGAAATACGAAAATGTGGACCCGCTGGATCTAATCAGCAGTAGGTCTAATTAGACTCATGTTTTTTAGGGTTTCGTAGTCTACTAGAAACCCTTATAGTTTCGTCAAGTCTGTCTGTCTGTATGCCACGCCCTCATACGTCAGTTTTAAAACTATCGATATGAAATTTGGTGTGAAGATAGACCGTGTTGACCCAAATTTAGAAATGTTGGGAAAAAAAATATTTTATATGTTTAAAACTAAGGGGAGGTTTCTTTAAAACAAAGTCTCTAAAATGTTTCTGTCTCGAGATATTTGCTTTTAAAAGGGGCGTTTTTGAGCCATAGTTTGTTCCAGCTGTAACTTCTAAAGTATGCATGCTAAAAATTTGAAAAAAATATGGAATATAGTTCTTAATATGAAATTACCATGAAAACTATAACGAATACTGTACCATTTAAGATTAAGGAAATATTAAAGTTTTTCAATTTGCAGTTGGTAACCATACAGCTGCAAACAAACCAGCAACAAAATTAACTTTGTAACGCTGAAAGATCTAGGGCCTTACCACAAAAAAGTTAGACCAGTGTTGAACGCGTGTCTAAAATAAAACTTCATACAAAAAAAACGCTAGACACGCGTTCAACACTGTGGTAAGGGTCTAACTTTTTTGTGGTAAGGGCCCTAATATTTAAACGTTGACTACGAAACCCTATTTGTGAGCGTGTCTGACACGCTCTTGGCCGCTTTTTTTTTCATAGTTAGTACGTAAAGTCCTAAGTTTAATTAAAACTACATTTATTTTGGTTAGCGTTTATGATTATTATTTGATTCGTTGACATGGGGATTGTATTTTAGTTCGGATTTTGTCATGATTATCAAATTTTTTACAGTATATAAGTAAAGTATCTGAAGAAGTAACTTTAGAAATAGTTCTTGTTGCTACATTTGGCTTAATTCGATCAATTTGCTAGAATTTATTTAAATCTTATCATCAGTGACAGGTTCAGTAGGAATTCTGAAATATTCGATTTGGACCCGCTGCTGGATCTAATCAGCAGTAGGTCTAATTAGACTCATGTTTTTTTGGTAAAACGATCTGTCCGTAGCGGATTCGATTTGTTTTTCGACACGAACTTGTTGGTATAGATGTCAATATTGCAGGCACCTATTAGTAAACAAGTATTCTCAGAAAATAGGTAAACTCCTAGAAATACTTGTAAACCATTAAAAGTTGTTCCACTGATATGTATTGCAATTTAAAAAAAAGGTAAACAATGATGATGATGTTGATGCACTCCAAAATCCGTTAGTTCTACGACAGATATGATCAGCCCACTACCACTTCATTTTTCTACACTTCCAGACTATGTCCGTTACTTTGGGTTTTTGGTGGATAATCTCGTTCCGGTCCTAATGTAATAAAATTAGCTATTTATATTTTATTTTAATGTTTAACCTTTTTTCATAGTGTACTTCTATTTTTACCAAATAATGATAAAGGCGTGATAATATGTAGGTATGTAAATGAGCGTGAATATGAAATAGTCTCCCAACTTCGCCTAATGAACATCTCTTTCAACAACCGACAACCGTTTACCGTCTACTAAAACTAAGAGTACGCTTATTAACCGGGCGTCGCGACAACGACGCCGTCAAAATTTGACGGCGCCAATGTCGCTGCGGTCTTGTAGAAAAACCCGACCGCATCAACTGACAGCGCCATACAAACCCTGATTTTCTCAGCGTGCTGTCAACGTGACGGCGACATGGCGGCGTTGTTGACGCTGACGCCAGGTCTTTCTGGTATCCCCATACAAAACAGTCATTTGACAGCGACAACGATGCCGCCGCGACGCCGCGACGCTTAGGTTTTAAGGGTATCTTAACGGTTCCAACCAGGGTTGTTGCGGATGCAGATTTTTTCACATCCGCGGATGCGGATGCGGATGCGGATTTCTGGGGGCACACATCCGCGGATGCGGATGCGGATGCGGATGTGTACAAAAGACTTAAGTTTTGGGAGAAAAAATTAAAAGACAAGTCAAACAATCAAGTCTACAACTTAAATTTACTACATAATTTTACACTGAGATTTATCTCTGCCATTTTCAACAGGTTGAAAATAGGTCCATATTTCAGTTTACGTAGGTGGAGGCATAATTCAGTTCACACAAAACCAACACTCACTGCACTTGACGTAATTGTTACCTACTTAAACAATTACAACGCAAAAATACAATAATTAAAGCAAAAAACTTGATATTAAGAAGAAAACAAACGAGCACGTCATACCTTGTCACTACACAACACAAAAACAAAAGTGAGGCGCGGGGCTTCCCCGGCGAATAACAGACACCGAAATTAAAATGATTGATTTCTTATTGGTCAATTAGCACGAGCGCGCGACACGCGCCAATCGCCGGACCCGCCCCTTTCTTTCTTGTCCCGACCTGCTTCACATCCGCATTCGCATCAGCTCCGCATCGATTTTTGCGGATGCGGATGCGGATGCGGATGTCTAAATTAATGCGGATGTTCCGCGTATGCGGATGCGGATGCGGATATTCGCAACATCCTTGGTTCCAACTATTCCGAGTGTGGACGTGGACCCGATTAAAACATACAAAGTGCGAGTCTTCAAATAACAAGTAGGATATTCTAGGAATGAGCGTTCCAGGAATGGTATTTAGAATGGCGGTAGTGACAGGACTGACACATTCATAGAGGACATTAAAGGACTTGTAGCGTTGGCTGGACTATAAATACATCATGCAAGACGTTTCAGTTACATTTTGTTCTACATACTATGTTTCAATTGGTAACGATAAGTTCATTGGATTTTTGGTATAATGTAAGGTCAAAAACTACTAAAACATCAGTCGAAACCAGGAGCTCTATTTTGCGTAAGTATTTCGTAATTTATGACATGGAGGTTATTGATTTTGGGTAGGCACCTACTCCAAATTGTTTAGATTTGCCGGTGATAAGCGGGTGATAATCTCAAGTCCAGCTGTGTCAATCCAGCATGGACAACTGTCAACTGATTTTGGAAAATATGCAAAATTTTCACCGCACGCAGGATGAAAATGTGACGAAAATTTAAGTTTTCTAGACTTGTTTAGCTCATTTCCACCAAAAAATAACGAAAATGTGGTGAAAAATGATTTCTGTTGTACGAAACTGATTTAGGTATTTTCAGAGCGCTAAACTTTAACTGCTTTAATATTACGTAATTTAACTGTAAATCATAATAATTTAAACAATGTGTAACCCGACTCTGGCACGGCTGCAAAACGCGTAAAGTAGTTAGATAAA